ATTTTCAATCATAGATGACACCTCCAAAGGATATGCTATCTTCAATCTAAGCATTAGGCTGGCACCCACTTCATGCTCTTAACTTCTTCCTGAATGGTTTGAGAATGTATTATGCCAAGAATCAATCTTGATACAAGAACCAGCTCAGTCCAGTTTATTGGCATTGTGCCTACATCCATTGAAACCTACCTGCTATTTTTTCTTTCATTTCTCATTCTTGAATAAGTCCATTTTTCTGGGATTTTTGGGTGGAGGTCTTAAACTAAGCCATATATTTGGAGCTGTAGCAGAATCTGATATGCTATATACTATATTCTAAAAGAAATTAACAAATTAACTATAATATTTTCATCAAGATAAGGATGACATGTAACAAAAATGTTTTCATATAGATCACAAGATGAAAGAAGAATAAATTATTGCTATTATTGGTAGTAGTAGTAGTAGTAATATTATCTGCATGGAAGTAGGTGCATCATATATAGACTGCACACTGGTTCTGTAACATTAGGGAATTCCACAAACTCTCTCAACTCTATCTTCCCATTGGTGTCCCTGGCTTTTGCTAATGTAATGCAAAATTATTTGATAATACTTGTTAAACATGCAGTAAAGATGACTATGTGTGAATATCACAGAAGTTATAAGGACCACTGGAAAGAGATTTTGCAGGGATTAAATGATTTGGGAATTTAAAGACAAAGAACAGGGAAAAGTCAAAGAATGGGAAATAATTAAGAAGAAATAGCAGAGGATTCTGGCTAACCAACCTAACAGGCCAGTCTTGACAGGTCAGGCCTACTAGAAATGACCTGGAAGCCAGATGAAGATAAGATATCTGATTGGCTCTTGAATTTGATCAAACCTTGGGGACTGGGATTCCTTCTAAACTGACCAAAAGGAGATGTAGAATGGCCTAGAATTTTCAGGAATCTAATATATGGTAAATCAAACTATCCTTTTCAGTACCAAATAAAAGTAAAAGCCGTTGGCCAGTAGGCAGCACTTGTATAGCTCTCCAGAGTTATTTAGTGATATTAAAATGACTATCTTCTATTTTTGAGTTTAAAGAAATCCATGCTTTCTTTGCTCTGAAAATTTTATTCTTTTGAAGCAGAGTATAATAAAATACAGAATCAGTAAAGCAGTCCTAGGTTTGAATACTGACTCCACAGTTAGATGCTCCCATCAAGTGACTTAATGTCTTTGAATATATTTTCTTCTAAAAAATAAGATATGAAAAACAACCCTTGAATATTTTGACAGAATCTAATGATAAGTTTACATATAAGTTTCCAATGTATTGTCAGGTACAAAGTGAGCACTTAATAAACCTGTTTCCCTCTGCTTCTCTTAAACATTCAGTGTGGGAGGTGGATTTTTCTGTTCCACTAGCCAGTTCCCAAATAACCACACAGGGACTTAATATTAATTATGAATGTTTGGTTGACAGCTTTGGTTTGTTACTAACTAGCTCTTACAGCTTAAATTAACCCGTATTTCTTATCTACCCTCCTCCACATGGAGGTACCTTCTTGCAACACAGCATGTTCATCTTGTTTCTCTCTGTATCTCTTTGTGACTCCTCAGACTTCTCTTTCTTCTTCCCAGTATCCTCCTAGCCTAGCAATCCAACAAATCTCTTCCTGCCCAGCTATAGGCCAATCAGATCTCTAATAATCAATGAGAATAACACATATTTACAGTGCACAAAGATTGTTCCACAGCAGTTCAAAATAATGGTTGATGTTTTCATCTTAGCCTTATGAAGTGAGAATTCTTAATTTTATCACATTAAATGAAGTGTGAAGAGTAAACCACTTTGGTATCTGCTCTCAGTTCTCATTAAGTATCCTGGGACAGATTCAGACACCAACAGATATCAAGCTTGTGGTGAACTGAAAGGTGACTATAGACAAAACCCTTAGAATTAAACTAAAAGAATTCAAGATATATAATAAGAAAATTAACAGTTAAAGGACACAAATTAAGACCTTAATGACTGTAAATATTTAACATGTTAGCACAAGAGAAGGATCACCATAAGTAAAATTCTAAGAATATTAATGAGTACATCACAAAAAACAACAAATTATCTCAATGTGCTTGACAGAGGACCCCCAAATTTGTGTGGAAGAAAAGGGCCCAAAAGTTACATAAGTTCTTACAGAGCAATGAAAATGCCCACACTCTATATGCCACTTTTCATGGGAAATGTGTAAAAAATTCACTTAATATTTTATGTCATACTGTAATACTTGTCCTCAGTGGAGCCAAAGTAGGAAAACATAGACATACCTTTTGCTAACAAAGGTTCTTCCCGGAGAATGAAAATCACTTCTCCAATTACGAATATACTCAGTGTTGTACCTAGATTGGATTCAGAATGCTCTTCTCCACCCACTAAATACTCCTTCAGCATACCCAATGACTCTGCATTGTCAATATTTAACATACAGGCCTCTATTCCAATCTGCTTTTAGCAATTCAGAGGAGTATTAGTGGAAGTGACAGCCACCACTCTCACTCATTTATTTAACCACAGTTAGATAACCCCAAGTTCTGGGAGCTCTTAAGGAGCCTACCATTGAAGGAAGAGCCCTCAATGCTTGGTCACCAGTGGATATGCTTTCAGTGAGACCTCTTCATAAGTGATCTGGAAACAGGGAAGCTTGAGTTTCCATCCCTGTGTAGTTTCTGAGACTATGAAACTGGGCTCCAGTGTTAACAGAGGAAGTCAACTTTCTTCCTTCAGCTGGGTGAAGCTTAGGCCCCTGGTTCTGGCCATGTTCTACGTAAGGTTTTACTCTCCAGGCATCCTCAGATTTTGATGTACAGCTCTTTCTTGTTCATGAAAAAATATACTTCAAACAAGAGTGAACACAAAATCAATGTTAAACCTTCTGCTCTCCCCAATTCTCAGATCTTTACTGGTATTCATTACACACAAGGTGAAACCTGCCTTTTTAACCCAAGATTCAATATGACAAGGAAATGTCACATTCAAGGAGTGAGCAGAGTAAGGTCTGTCTACAACAGCAATGGTAAAGTCACATTTTGAAAGCTAAGTGGCAAAGTAGGATTATCAATGAAAATATAAGATACAGCCTAGAAGTCCAGTCCATGAAAACAAGATGATGCTTTAGGGTTAAGTAGATTGGTGGTCTTGGCCAGAGGAGGCTTGGTGGAGTGAAGAGGATGAAAGTCAGACACTAGTAGACTGAGGAACACAAGGACATAGGACGTAAAAAGGTCAATTCTCGATAGCTTTTGCATTAAACTTTGAGAACAAAATGAAGGGTTATGAAATATACTTCATGGTTTTGAACATGACAGATGATATGAGATCTATCTATTCTGCACCTTGTCATATGTGGAGAATTAATTGCATGTATAATGAAAGCATTTTCTTCCTACTCTAACCACGGTGGCAAATGATACAATAACAGGAAATGATATTCAAACCACAATTTAATAAGGAAGTCAAATTCTCAAGTATCACCTGGCTTCTTCATACCCTATTCTTGCAGCAGGAGTAAACATCTGGGAAAATAAACATTTCCTTGGTTTCTAAAGAGATTAGGCAGGTTTTATAGAAAGTATAGCCACTTTTCTAATGATATAAACGGCAAGGGACCAGGAAAGGGCTTTTCACAATTAATTTTGTGAATGGGCTACCTCACCTATTACAGGATCTTTCTCCTGGAAGTCTGGGCCCTGAAGTGCTGAGGAAACTGGCCCAAATTCTTCTGGCTTGCATTCCAGTTTCCTGGAGTTTCATTTGAGGGTGAAAGATGATAATTGGAATTTGTGGATCTATATGTATTCATAGCAGTGGCAGTATCTTATGGCTGACTTGGGTCGCCAATGAGGGTAGATTTCAGAACTGTGGAAGATTGGCTTGTTCTAGAAATCTCCAACTCCTGCCCAGCCCAGCTTTGTCCTTCCTTTGTGACCTTATGTTGATCACAGAACTTTACTGACTCAGCTCCTAATCTGGAAATGAGACACATCTAAAAGTACCCTGATGCCTAAGTGTATTATAGAATGTTGGTGGGCTGTGAACCCCAAACACTAACTTAAATGTGCTACAGAAACTTCAGCTCATTTGTACAATAGCCTGTTATCCTGGGAAGCTTCAAGTTGCCAAGAATTCTGAAATCACACTAGCTCTGTAAAGCAACTATTTGTGATGTGCTCCATAGGTGTCATGGTGGGCAAGATTTGACCTTCTACTCTTCACTGATGACCAAGATGAGCCCCCAACTGGATAGATTCTCTGCTTTTTTCTAATAATAAATTAAGACTATAGGGCTACTTATAAAAAGTCAAACATACAAAGATAGAAGAAGCAAAGTAAGTTGTCTAATCATAAATGTCCCCTGCACCCTGAGCCTGTTACGATAAATCTTTCAGGACTCTTTATCTGTTAGCTCAGTCTTAATTATCATAAATCTATATTTGTTATAAGACTTATATTATCAGATGCCTTATTAGTGTCCCTCCTTGCTGGTAGATCAAATCGTGCTGTTGGTTCAGGAGCGGAGGGGAAAGGAGAACCCTTCATGTTTCTCCTTCACTTAAATATGAGTCTCCTTGCTATGTCACTTCCTGCCTGGATCAGCACTTCTCTACTACATTTCCCAGAAAACGGGAAAAAGGAACCCTTCATGTTTCTCCTTTGCTTAAATATGAGTCACCTTGCTGTATCACTTCCTGCCTGGATCAGCACTTCTCTACTACGTTTCCCAGAATCCTCTTTGACTCCTAGTCCTGTCTAACTTCCTATCTCGTTGGCCAAACAGTATTTTATTTAACAATCAATAAGATAAA